ATATTATCTGTCTTCAACTACCACTTGAGAAGCGTTCAGATCCTCAGTAAAGCAAGTACTAAATCAGTACTAGTGATATTCAAGTTTCCTTGTCGAATTTCAGAGTAAAAGGTTTCTTGAAATGAACAGAACCTCGTGCTTCTGCACTACCGTTTCACACGCAGACTCAAAGAATAGCTGGGAAGGAGAAGAACTTGCTATGAAACCAGGCACACAACTCCTGTCCTGTCCTCTCCTGGGTGAACTGAGCATTGCCTTCGTTATCAGCATCTCCTCCTACCCCTGACACGAGGCCAGAGGAAGAACAGCATCTTCCCCCAACACCCTCCCTGTCCATTTATGTATTTTGCTACTTGGAAACTGTTGTTGCCTCATGCCACACAAATCACAACGTTATCTGCAACTGCACTCCTCAGGTCTGACCAGGAAGAGGTGGGGGCAGCGCAACCACCATCCTGTGCAAGTGCCATAAACCCAAATCCCTCCACCCGGTTAGGAGATCTACCTGAGCTTTACCCACTTCAAGCTCTTCCCATAGCCACACAATGCCCCTTGTAATGCCAGTTGTTAGGTTTCAGAGTTAACAGTCTAGCAAGATGTGCTGTTGACAGTTTTCAGACTCAGGAAGAAAAGCTATGTTTGAGATCTGGGTTAAAAGGTGCCCGTTACCACCTGCAGACATGGAAATTGGCTGTTTGTATTCAGTCAAAGACTTTAAAAGTGCTGCAGAAATGGAAGGGGCCACCCCTAGAGGGCCAGGACTGTGTTCCATTGCATCCTAACTTTGCCCAACAACTTTGCCCGGTCATGAAAGTGATCTGCACAGCTGAGAGGACACAGCGGGAGAAAAAGAAGCAGAGAATATTAACAAAAAAAAAAAGCCATTTTATTGAAAATGAAATTCAAACTTCAAATTAATATTACAATCATGAGAAAATGCCAAACAATTCAATTTACAGTTGCAACATACAATACAAATAGTCCCTTTGAAGTTGAAGTAAACCGATCCACAATCATCGTCTGTGGCATAAAGCAGAATGTGTTTGTACAATATGTGCATGAAAAGCAAACCTCCGGTGACAGCGTTTGAGAAAAAATAAAAAAATTAAAGCTTGTATTTACACAAAATGCTACAAATATTTCGTTCCGGCAGAAATTCAAGACTGGTAAAGCATTATTTAACAACAACAAAAAAAAATGGAATGTCACTCATAACCTAAAACAAAAGTTACTGTAAAAGTATGGTTTTGGCTGATATACTTAGAAGTACTGCATTAAAAAAAAAAAAAAAAAAAAAAAAAAACAAAGAGTTATCTGTAAACATGGAAGTAAACAAACATCTAAAAGAGTTCTCAGAAAAAAAAAAAAATGTTAAAATGAAATGCATTATATTTAAAAACAACAAGAAATTCTGGGGTTCAGAGAATCGGGCTCCTTTGATCTCGTACTCATGGCTGGTCCGGGTTTGGTTATTGCTTTTGTTCATGGCTTGCTGGCAGTGGCCAGCGGCAGCTCCCGGTGGCATGGCTTTGCTAAGCTCCAAAGTGCACAAGTTCTCCTGCTTGAGATGGCACCGCCATGCCTGGCACCTCCTGCACGGGGCTGCTGGCACCACGGCCAGCACCGGAGAAGGAACGACCAACGCCGTGCTAAGGAGGTGGGAGAATGCACTGTGCTCCATCCCCACCCGCCGGCACCGCGCGGTTACTCCGCGAGGAGGGGGAGGAGGATTCAATCCTCCGTTGGGCAAAAGGGCCATCGTGCCTGTTCTGCTGGGAGTTAATCTTTGGTAGGGTAAGAGACGGAGGGTAACAAAGGCCATTTTTTTGTCGTTACATCAATGGCCAGTGCCAAAGATTGCACTCGTTGAAGGGAAGGGCTGTCGTACCTCTGAGAGAAAGCTCCTTTCTGTTGATGCTAAGCACCTTGCAAAATAATCCCGTAAGATAACAACACGACATGTGTCTTTTTTGGTTGGTTTTCTTTTTTTTTTTTTTTTTTTTTTGGTCTGAAATCCTGCATCGAGAGCATTTCCAAGTGATCTTGGAAGCACTTTCCAAAGGCTTCGATGTGCATTTCTGCGTCAGCCCCCTCGGCTGCCATCTGATGGCGGGAGAGGTTTTCCTGAGGCACCACGAGGTGTGGGGAGCATAGGGTCTCCCGAAAGTCAGTGGGCCGGTGCTTTTCCATTAGCAGGTGCTTAGAAAATCCTCTCCTTCCCATCTGCTCCATCTGCTCAAGCAGAAAGTGCCTGCATGGCAGCGGGAGCTGGGTGCGGGGGTCGGGATGTGCTCCTCACACAGGTGGAGAAGGCATTCTGTCCCTATCGCCCACCTTAAAAACCATGGGGGGCTTGGGCAGAGTTCTGTCGGTACTGAGCAAAACAGAAGTCTGGTCTGTGCTGGATTTATCCAGAAACAAAACCAAGTGCTTGAATTTTACAACAAAGTCTTAAAAAAAAAAAAAAAATCTGGGTTGCTGCCTGCAGCCACTCTAACAACATTTCAACACAAAAGCACCCTAAAAATTACTTAATATGCATACAGTAAACCTTAAAAAGCCCTTCTCAGCAACAACAAATAATGTACAAATATAGTACCTTTTATTAAATAGGAAACAGCTTGCACTGGCAGTACATCTTTTTCTCTTGCTTACTAAACAAAAACCAAAACTGAAATGTGTAACCAGACACTGGCTTTTTAAGTGCTGCTGAGACTAACAAACGTATTTTACAGTTACAAATAAATGGACAGTGGTATGCTTCAAGCTACCACAAACCAACAATAAATAGAATCAATTACAGCTTCCATCTTTGAAGGAAAACTATTAGGAAAAAAAAAAAAAAAAGTGTCTTACTTATATTTTAAGCATACTTGGTATACAACCTTTAGAAGGCAAAGACGTTTTTTAAGAGCACGTAATCACGCAGATTGGAGGAATGTACTATGCTAACGACGACTCGATGACTCGTTGTAGTTTAACAGCTTTGCTATCAACTAACAGGGATGGTGTTGGTGTTGTCCTCGTGGCTCTGTGTGGCTCTGCCTGCTGTGGATTTATTGCGATAACTGGAGACGGCCCAAGCACAGCCAAGGAACATCACCATGGCCAGCGGCCCCTGAGGAGGATGCTTAGATTTGGAATCATTTAGGTTGGTGAAGACCTTAAAGGCCATCAATCCAACCAACAACCTGACCATAGGTTATGGCTGTGCTGAGGGCAGAAGGGGAGGGTCACAGCCCTTTTGAAGGGCTAAGCCAACACCAGGCTTGGGCATCCCCACCACGCAAGGGAAAAACAACCTGCTGGGCAAAATGTGTGCACCTCCAATGGGCACTTATGCAGCAGACAGGTTGGCTTAAGGGTTACAGGTTAAATTCATTCTCCCTGCGTCACTGTACCATGCCTGGGAGCCCCAGGGCGGCCTTAAGGTGACTGTCTTCAGCACCGGGTCTGAAGAGCAGAGTATTGCTGAGCTTGTGCTTGTTTCTCTAATATGGCAAAGTAAACCCAATGTCTTTAGGAGTTCAGCATTTAATGCTAGTGCTCAGTGATTCCAGGCTGGGAAGCTTCTGTCTCAACTTTGAACCTTTTTATTCCATAGAAAGGGTTGAAATTTCAAGGGGAAGAAAAGGTTGTACCAATTCTCCCTGACTTCCATTTCTGAGAAACGCAACAACTTGTTAGTTCTATAGTATGTGATTTTGATTTTTCTTTGGGGAAAAAAAAGGCAACGAACTATCAGAATTCAAACCATGCTGCGAGAATGTTTTAAATATGAATACTTTCAAATTTTGAAGTTCTGAGAAAAATCCTGGGAGAGGAAGAAATCAAGGGAAGGGTAGAAAATATTTCATCCTTCCTAACATTTTTCCAGTGTCTCCACAACTGCTGATCAAAAGGCAAGACTGTGTTGAAGGCAACCTGACAGCTAATAAAGTATTTTGAACACAATATTTCCTTCATAAGTTATAGAAGAAGATCCTACATCCAAAGTCATTTGATATGGAAGCATTTGGGCTGGTTTTGTTCGTTTCGTTTTTAAGTCACCTTGTAAAGCGGTTCACACTGGGACTGCTTCTCAGAGTTGGGTCAAGTTTTGAGGTTCACACCATTGTAGAAATGTAAAAAAAATAGAAATAAAAGGCCAACAAAACAAAACAAAACAAAAAAAACAAACCACTTTTAGAGACCGAAGTCGATATATCATTACATTAAGAAACGTTTAAAGGGTCCAAATGTCATTAAATAATTATAAATATTCTTTTAAAGTTATACGATGATTCATGTTCGCAAACAACCTCAAATTTTATACACTTATAATTTAAAAAAATATAAAAAAGAATGTAGCTGAACACAAATACTACGCATACCATTTTGGCTCTAGTAATATATATTGCCATTTTCATATTTTGCATAAGTAATAATGTTTTGTTTTTAAAGGTTTTGGTTTTCTTTTTTGGTTTTTGGCTAATCGAAGGCAAGACGAATGGATACAAAAGCAAAAAGGAAACCCTGGGGCTGTCTAGCCTAACTTGAAGACTTGTTCTCTTTAAGTACCCAAAAACAAAACAAAAAAGGAGTGAACACAGAGAAGTTCCAACTGTTATCTGCAGCAAGGCTCGGTCAGAGTTTTGGGACAGCTATTTTCATCTGAATGTGACATAGTAAATTGGAAGCAACTTGATCTTTGCTTTCCTTCTTATGTGCACCAATACAAGCTAGTTGAATTGCACTAGGTGTGTGAGCAGGGTCCCATACGTTGTATGATTGCAACTGTATCTGGAGTTCATGATGAGTTTTTAAAAAATGAAAGGAAACACAGCCTTTGCCTTGCATCACCGTGTTTGTCCTGATAGCTGGGGAGTCCATTCTCTCCTCATCGGCAAAAGAACTCACTATTCATTACAATGCTTGTGACAAAAAAAAAAAAAAAAAAAGTGGGAAAGTGGGGCTGATTTTTTTTGTGTATGTATAGAAAGTACATTTTAAATATCAAAGAAGGTAAAACGGTTCCAAGAAAAAAAAAAAAAAAAAAAGCTTTGATCCAAATAAACTGAAACATGGGTGGTGGTGTGTTGGTAACTCTTGTGTTACTTATGGCTGTTATCATCCCATCTACACAGTTGCAAACATTGGTAAAATCTATCAATTTTTTTTTCTTTTTTTTTTTTTCTTTTCTTTTTTTTTTTTTTTAAGAAAAAAAGTAAAACAAAAGCCAGGCACTTCGTAGTTTGTCGACCGTTTGGGTTTTTGGCTCGCAGAGGTCGGGCCGGGCAGAAGCAATCTCAGTACGGCCTCCAAACGGACTCATCCATTCTGCCACTAGAATTCAAAACGGTTGGGGAGCTGCTGTGGCTGCCATCCGCCTCCACACCGTCACTCTGGTTGGGCAAGTTTGGGTTTAGCAGCGTGCTGCCGTTGGACGTGGTGGTGCACGGAGGAAGCATCCTGGAAGGGGAGCGGTCCCCTCCCGGCACCATGGGGAACTGGTACGATCCCGACGAAGTGCCATAGTAGAGATATGGAGTGCTGCTGGTCTGGAAAGGTCCACTTTGGTTTTGGGAGGAGCCAGGGTAGGGTGGTGGCAGGTAGGTGTGGTAGTGAGTGGTTGCGGACATACCCAGTGACATGCCTGAGGTGACGGGCGGTGTATAGGTAAAGGTGGCTGGATAGTGCATTCGTGGGTTGGAGAAGCGGCTCTCAGTGAGGGATGAAATGCTTGTGAACTGCCTGGGATCTGAAAATGGGCCCAGCTCGGAAGCACCTAAAAAATTATAACAAAAGATGGGGGAAAACAATTCCGTAAATACCATTTTTTTGTATCAAGTGATGATAGAATTTTATTTATTTTTTTAAAGAAAACCCACTTCTTCTGGCCCCCAAAAGAACAGCAGACCATACCCAATAACACATTGCAAGGAACAGAGTCATACACCTCTCTTCTACATGCACCGGGCCAGATTCGTCCCTGGTCTGACTCCACCGATGTCAATGGAGGAGCGGCACTGCCAACCCAAAGCGTGCCAAGGTCACAAGTCAGGCCCCCAAAAAACATCTCAAAAATCAAGATCTGAAGAGAGCCAAAAATATAAATGCAGATTCGTGTTTGATTTGCCTTCTGCTTTCTGAGCTTTGAGGGCGTGTGCTCGGGTGACGGGTGTCCAGCTGTTTGTTGTGGCCTCGATGGAAATGAAAGCTGGGGCTCTACCTCAGCACGTGTCCCCAGGGGCTGAGGCCATAAGAAAAAATGACAACTGTGCAGCTTGTAACGAACGTATGGCAGTTGGCAACACCGAGTTAGCTGCCCCACTGACACCAGCAGAGTTACTCTGGGGTGCCCGAGCCCCACTCCGTGCCCCAAAGCCACTTATGTAGGTGAGGACCTGCTCAGCTATCCTTATGGGTGGGAAATTGTGTCTGCTGCATCTGAGGGACTTCAAACTGGAAACTTAGCCAGGATGCGAAAATGATAGGAAAGATGCAAATTTTCCTTTTCACTGTCTATGGAAAATTACAAGCCCAGCACTGACTCTGTTACTGAAAGAAGCTGTTTTCCTATACAGCCCGTGCAGTCTGCTTGAAAAAAGACCACACAGTTTAGGGCTACTGTAAATGCCTGGATGGTAACGCTGTGAATCTGATTCTAACATGAAACAGAGGTGGGTAACCTCATTTAGCCTAATTTTGAATCCCACATCAAACGCCCAGAGCTTAGGAGCAAAACTGGGAAGCAAATGTTAGCAGCTTGGAGACTGCAGGGTGGACAGGAGAGGGGAAAGGGATGGTGGGAGTTTGTTCTGATAGCCAGAGAAGCAGGGAAACAAAAAAGGTGTGGGGAAAGGGGCAAAGGGGAACAGAATAAGCCCGACTGAGAAGTGCAGTGCAGAACAGAGGCAACCACTTCAGCCAGTACACAGCAGGCAATGCATATGTGTGAGTGAGAGAGAGATGGAGAGAGGAGGGTACAGAGAGGAAAATAATCACAGAATCAATTTCTCACTACAGACACGACTACAGCTCTCCTGTACTTAAGACCCAAGGGCTCAACCACCTCTTGCTGAACTGCCCATCTGATTTACTTAAAAGGAAAATGCGGGCTCTCCCAGGTGCCGACTGATGTGCCAAACGCCAAAACCCCCCCACAGCCTCCGTGTGACAGCAGCAATGCAATTCCTCGCTGACATGCGGGGCAGCAGACCTGCAGGCACCGTGCAGCCCTCTGCAGCCCTTCGCCTTTGCAGCCGCAGGCTCAGCAACCTTGCTGTCTTGCAGGGATTTGGGATTTAAATCACCATTCTCCTCTGCTCTCCCAGCCCATTTAACCTATGCCTCCAGTCCAGTATCCTACCAGACGATACCCACTGGCAGCGGGGCAAGCTTTGATACGGCATGGATTCAGGCTGAGGGTGTGGGCCACTGCCAGTCCAGAGTCCGACCCACCGAGCTGGCAACCCAGGATCTCTGCTAGCTCTCAATATTGAGAGCACAGGGTCTTACATGAGCAGTAACAGCCCAATCTTAACTGTGGTGACAACGTGATTACTATTATCTTTATCTGGAACCGAATCAGTGACCTAGGGGTGCATGGCTCTGTCTCCATCATCACCCACAACAGCGTGGAATGTAATATAACTTGTACCTTCCCAGCAAACACTCTGCTGCTTGATGCAACTGCTCTCGTTCCCAACTGCAAACAATACCCAGAGGCGATACCACCCAGATTCAAAGCTGTAATTTTGGAACTCAATCCTGTATATTGTGAACAGGTCTGATACGTATCTGGAAATATAAGGCCAGAACATAATTTCCCCAGCTGCTCAAAATACCGAGTTTCAATCTGCTACCGCTTACTTTTTTTTTACTTTTTAATTGTTATTGCAACTCTCCCAACATGAACAGAGTTGCTTTTAGTTTACCCTGATAGAAGCTAAACAAGACTTCTACAATCAAAGGAGAAGTGGTATGAGTGCAAGGGTGTAGAGGAGCATCGGCATTTTTGTTTCTTTGCAACTGATACATATATGTATATATATATTTATATTTCTAATAAAGGGCTGCCCAGAGAGGTGGTGGGGTCATCGTTCCTGGAGGTGTTCAAGAAGTGTTTTGATGTGGTACGGAGGGACGTGGTTTGGTAGGAAATATTGGTGGGAGGATGGTGGGACTGGATGATCTTGGAGGTCTTTTCCAGCCTTGGTAATTCTATGATTCTGTGATTCCATGATTATCAACACAGTTTTACACATTAAAAGCCAATCTCATTTTCAGGTCTAGATCCAAATATTGCCTGGATGGATGCATGCTCTGTATGACCAGAACTGTGCACATCATGCTTAGGCATTTCTAGGGCAGATCTCCTTACACACCTCAGCAAATTCACACTGGTTTTACTGTTGATTGTACAGCCTAATCTTATTCCCCCAAAGGCCAAAGACCATAATGCTTCCTTATCTTGCTCATGGCTGTCTGCACCACTCCCACACCACACTCACACACAAGGTTTTGTTCCTTCCACAGCCTTCTGTATCCCCAGTGTGTGGAAATATTTTTTGGAGACCAGAAGAAGTTTTCTATGGTGTTTATCCTAAAACCTCTTTTCTAAATGACTCTGAGAACCTCTTAAAGAGAAACCTCTGAAAGAGTTTCTTGCTGTCCTCACTGCTATGCCATCTCCCTGATGCTCTATCACCCTGTTAGCCCTCCCCTTGTGTAAGGGCTGACTTTGGTTCTGACTTGCAAACCCCCTCTGCATATTCATTCATGCATGGTTAGCTCTTTGCTGGGCTGGGAACATAAGCAGCTTTTTGGGTATGGCACTACTTTGCTATATCTACTTGCACACAAGCAGCAGCGCTGATTGGCAATATAGCAACATGACAGCGCAAGCAAATAATTCATTTATTCCTCTCTCCAGCAGGATTAAAGATTTATGCTAATTTTTCCACTGTCAGAGCAAGAACATCATTTGCATCTGTGAATTCCCACTCTCGTGATAGTGCATAATAAATGGGTGAAGCACAGAACCTCCACCCTGCGCTGTGGCCACAACATTTAAAACCACATTCTGCACAGAGCATTGCCTTTCCTCCTTGCTGCCAGAAACACAGTGACGAGCACAGGGACAGATCTTCTTGCCCCTGTATCATCTGATCCACTCACAGTGTTCGTCAGCACCAAACCAAACTAGCTCTTTTTCAAACAAAACCTTTAAGTTAGAGGGTAACCTCAATCAGAGGTGTTAATGCACTGGAACAGGTTGCCCAAGGAGGCTGTGGATGCCCCATCCCTGCAGGCATTCAAGGCCAGGCTGGATGTGGCTCTGGGCAGCCTGGGCTGCTGGTTGGCGACCTGCACACAGCAGGGGGTTGGAACTGGATGAGCACTGTGGGCCGTTGCAACCCAGGCCATTCGGTGATTTATAGGCTGGGACACACATTTTCTGAGGGACACAGGCTTAGGATAGAAGCGTGGTAACGCTAACATGCCAATATGTAGAGTAAGATACTAGGCTGGAGAATACTTTGCCAGCGTGTTTCAGATTTAGAATAAGAACAATTAAAATTCCATGTGGTTTCACTTATTTTGATGCAGAAGCCTCATTAAAAACCCTCGCCTTGGGAATTTGCCAGCAGCCGACTGAAACGGCTTTGCGTTTGTGTTTGAAATCCTATTTTACCTGCTGCAGCTTTGCAGCTCCCCTGCTCGGAGCAGACGGTGTGCCCCGGTCACTTCTCTTTTTCAGGTTACAGATGCCAGCCATTCACCTTTATCTCTAAATGAATAAGCCATGCTTGTGGTCGGCAGAAAACAAATCAACAAATTTCTGCCAGGTTTACAGCCCTTGGACCAATCACTTCCAATTATTAAAGATCATAATGAACTGTGGATAGATTAACTCCTTGTTGGCACAGCAAGCTGCCATCAACTTGGAAGAGCTATAGGATAACTCTGTAACTTGCAAATATTGCACATGGCTTTGTCATTTCTGCAGTTTGCTTTGTCTTTTTATGCTTAAAGGCATTGCAAAAGAGCAGAAGGACCCCCGGCTCACTGCATATGTCTGATAGGGAAATGCCTATCCGGCTGAGTGCTGTGGTATTGAAAGTCAGCGAACAGACTGCCCCAAGGCAATGCAGCTCCATACAGCTAAATTCATTTACCAGTATCATCTATACTCGTGAATGGTGTGTGCAGCCTGGCCTGCCTACAGCTGCTCATCCCACCTCGATGAGACACGCTGCACACTTCACATGAGGAGTCTGCTTTCAGCCTCACGCAGCTCTGCCAGACGCTTGATGTTGTGGCTCAGTGTCCATGCTGGGCGTCTGGCTCGGGCAAAAACTGTGATTTATGCACTTATTTGTTTTTAAAATTTCAGCTGAAATCCTTCTAGTGGGAAAAAAAGAAATACATATATTGTTTTGCTAATCTTAAACTCTGAGCAGTCTTCCTTTGAAAGCTGTACCAGTTCCACACTTTGACGTAAGGATTTGAATTCTGGAATCAGAGTGACTTGTGTGTGAGAGATGCTGCCATGCAAACCCAGCCAAATATGAACAAATCCTAAACATTCTGCCTACAAACGGGCAGAAGAGGCTGTGCCCCTACGCAGACACTTGCCCACAGACTGGGATGAAGTTCAGGACTGCTGAGTTTCTCTTTCAGAAAAGCCAACGGACACCGGAGGCACAATGGACATCCCAGCCCATCCTCGGCTCTGTCCCCACCAAGACCCAGTTGGTGAGTGACACAGCCCACGTCAGA